GGTGGAGAGAGGACCCTAGCTTAAGGACTCTTGCAAATTCATTCATTCCGGACCTCCCTCCAGGGAGCTTGTTGCTGGAAGCTTCTGGGGCATTTGCTGGATCCTTTGGAAATGTTCTCTGTGAGTCTTGTCCGTGCATTTCCCCTTTAAAATGAGCCGGGTGGCCGCTGCTTTTTCTCACCCTCCCCCAGACGGCCAACGGGAACGTGGAGGCAAAGGTGGTCTGTCTCTTCCGGCGGAGGGACATCTCCAGCACCCTCAACAGCCTGGCGGACAGTAATGCCAGTGAGTGTCTCCGGATCCCTGCGCGCGGGCCCGGGGCTGGCAAGTGCCTGCCTGTGTCTCTCCCCGGGGCGGGGCGGCTGTGGGGGTGGGAAGATGGCCTGTTTTCACACGTTGGGGCCGGGAGCAGGGTGGAAGCACCGTGATCAAGAGAGCCAGTGGTGACAGGGGGAGCCCTTGGGGAGGCACGGCTCTGCGTGTGCCTGGACGGTGGGTGGGAGCTGAGTCTGACAAGGTGTGCTTACAAGGCGGCCCCACAGGGGAGCTGGCGAGCTGGCGGGTCTTGTGATCCCCAGGTGGTGCGTGGAAGAGAAAGTTTAACTGCACTTTCCACCCCGTCTCTCTACCTGCCTCCTCCCGTTAGCTCCTCCACCCTGCTTTACAACCTTCTTTTCCTTGTTCCTTTTGTCTTAGCTCTTGACCTTCCGGCTCTTGTAGCATCCTAGCATCTCCGGCTACCCGGCATGTCTTTCAGCTTTTCTTAGCTTTTTCCTCCCCGTCCCCCCTTTCCTGTTGTCATTTTCCTTCAGTTTTCTCCTTGTTCCTCTAGCCTAGATTAGTGTGCCCCGTCCTGCTTCCCTTCCCTCCCTGCCCCCTCGGGCATGAACAGGTTAACGAGGAGCTCCGTTTACCAAGTTCCCAGATCCCTCTGGGGTTTCCAACCCCCTCTGGCAGGGGCTGACCTTGGCCTTGTCCAATCAGAAGGGGTGCAGGGGGTGTGGTCCCCCTAGCCTTGGCACCGTTTCCGGAGCACACTGGAGAGGGGCGGAGCCTGCTGCCCCTCCCCCCTCTCCACCCTGCGGTTGGAAACAATGGCCAATGAGCTCCTGGCCTGCAGCTTTTTCTGCCCCTCCCCCGGGAGTTGGCGTCCTGCCAAGTTAACCCTTCTCACCAGGCCTTCTGGGCCAGCTGCAGCTCCTTGGGGGAGGGGGGTGGGTCGTGCCGCCATCATTTGAGAGGCGCAGGATTGTCCGCCCCAAAGACAGTGGAGGATAGTTCTGAGGTGTGTGGAGCCGGGTCTCCTGAAACCTGAAAGGAGGAACTGGCAACCACAGCCGTGGGCGACAGGCTTGCAGCTTGGGCGTCCTGGACCTTAGGCTGATTTGCCAGGACGGAGCCTGGAGTGATGTTCTTCTGGCTGAGGTGGGGCGGAGGTGGGCAGTACTGTATGTCAGCTGGACCTGGCTGTGTTTCTGGAGTACCTGGTCCAACAGTTCCTCCGCCCTAAGAGCTTGCCCACTGGGAAACTGGGAGGGGACCTGAGAACAAGAGTCTCCTCAGGCTGGAAATTCCAGTGGGCTTCATTTTCTGATTTGGTTCCCTCCTCCTTTGTCTCCCAGGGGAGTTTGAGGAGGAATCGAAGCAGCCAGGGGTGTCGGAGCAGCAGCGCCACCAACTGAAGCACCGGGAGCTCTTCCTTTCTCGGCAGTTTGAATCTTTACCGGCCACACACATCCGGTATGAGCCGGGCTGGGGGCCAGGGTGGCCCCTGAGTGCTTCCATGGGGCGGCTCACTGGAGCCAGGGTGAGGTGCTCTTCACCCAGGGGCTTCTGACACCCCTCTCCCCTCGGCAGAGGCAAATGCAGTGTCACTCTGCTGAATGAGACAGACATCCTGAGCCAGTACCTGGAAAAGGAGGTGAGCAAGGAGGTCCCACAAGGCCAGTGGGGAAGAAGGCTGTGGTGAGGTCCCAGGCTGCCAGGTACAGGGACCTGACCCCTTCCAGCTCGGGGCCATCTGTTGGCTCACCTCCCCTCTCCCTCCTCCAGGACTGCTTCTTTTACTCCCTGGTGTTTGACCCTGTGCAGAAGACACTTCTGGCTGATCAGGGGGAGATTAGAGTTGGTTGCAAATACCAAGCTGAGATCCCCGACCGCCTAGCGGATGGTAAGCAAGCAGCAGGGCAGGCTACAGGCTCTTGGGGGAGCTCAGCTCAGGGACCACGTGAGCCTGGCAGCCTGTGGCTGGCATACCCTAGAGTTGTGGTACAATGGAACCTGAAATGGACCAGTGGCCCTGCAGATGGGATGTGAGCAGGGCAGGGAAGGGGGAGTGGGGAGGTGCTGTATCTGAGGGCTGCTGAAACACCCCCTTCTCGTCTTCCCAGGGGAGTCTGACAACCGGAACCAACAGAAGATGGAGCTGAAAGTATGGGACCCAGACAACCCTCTCACGGATCGGCAGATAGACCAGTTTCTCGTGGTGGCCCGGTGAGGGGTGGGTGGCGGGGAAGCTGGGCGGGAGGAGGTGTATACGAGGATTGTGCCTCCTCTGAGATGGAATTGGTTCTTTTTCCTTTGATGGGGGTGTTGGGGGTGTCCTCTGGCTCCGTTGTTCAGCCCACTCGCACAGTTGCCTGCCTTCTCTTGACTTCTCCATCTCTGTCCCTAGAGCTGTGGGGACCTTTGCCAGAGCCCTGGACTGCAGCAGCTCCATTCGGCAGCCCAGCTTGCACATGAGCGCCGCTGCCGCTTCCCGGGACATCACCCTGGTGAGCCTAAGTGGCCCAGCTGGCCTTTGCCGGGACCTGAGGTGCCTGGGGACACAGGAAGAGAGTGTCACCAAGGGAGTGGGGGTGTTTGGAGAGCAGCAGAGACTTGGGGCCGGAGGGCTCACTTACTCGGAAGTATCATTCTTTGCTTTCTCTGCAGTTCCACGCGATGGATACGTTACAGAGGAACGGCTATGACCTGGCAAAGGCCATGTCGACCCTGGTGCCCCAGGGGGGCCCCGTGCTGTGCCGGGATGAGATGGAGGAATGGTCGGCCTCGGAGGCCATGCTGTTTGAGGAGGCCCTGGAGAAGTATGGGAAGGACTTCAATGACATTCGCCAGGACTTTGTAAGTGGATGGGACTGTGGGGGAAGGAAGGAGAGGGAGAGAGAGAATGTGTAGACCTGATGGAAGGGAGCGAGATGGCATGTGTGGAAGGGGGAAAGATGGCAGATGCGTGTGTGTGTGTGTGTGTGTGTGTGTTATATGTGTGTGTATGTATACTTGGGACCCGATGCCAAGCTCACCTTCTTCCCCTCTGCCTTCATAGCTACCCTGGAAGTCACTTGCCAGCATAGTCCAGTTTTATTACATGTGGAAAACCACAGACCGGTATATTCAGCAGGTAAGGGCTGCCTAGTCGGGGGCTGACCTAGTGGCCTGGCTCTCACAGGCAGAGGCCCGTGGAAACGGCCTTTTCCCACTGACGTGTTCTCAATAGTTTTCTTTTTCCCCCGTCCCGCCCTCCAGAAAAGATTAAAAGCTGCTGAAGCAGACAGCAAACTGAAGCAGGTCTACATCCCCACCTAGTAAGTGTGGGGTAGAGGGCAGTGGGCAGTGGGCGGCTGGCACACACAGACGGCTGTGGGCAGACAAGTTGGACAGAGGTCTTCTCCCTTGACCAACGGCCTCCTTCCTTCCCCTGTTGCCTGCCCTGTTAGCACAAAGCCAAACCCTAACCAGATCATCTCCGTGGGCTCCAAACCAGGCATGAATGGGGCTGGATTCCAAAAGGGCCTGACCTGCGAGAGCTGCCACAGTGAGTTCCCAGGGGAACTTCTCTCCTGCTGCCTTAAGGGGACGGGGGTAGGGGGAGCTGGTTTGTGCTAATGTAAATGGCCCAGGACCTTGAGCTTCCTGCTCCCCTACAACAACCTCCCCCCTCCCTGCCCTCTGCTCTGCCAGCCACACAGTCAGCCCAGTGGTATGCCTGGGGCCCCCCCAACATGCAGTGCCGCCTCTGCGCTTCCTGTTGGATATACTGGAAGAAGTATGGGGGGCTGAAGACCCCAACCCAGCTTGAGGGGGCCGCTCGGGGCACCACGGTAAGGATTGCCAGGGCTGGGGAGAGGAGCAGACATACCCGAGCCTGGGGGCAGGTAGTACTTGCGTGGGTGCGTGCATGCGTGCGTGTGTCTGGGAGTGCTCAAGATGGGAGCTGCAGCCCTCTCTGCTCTTTCCTGTTCCCCTTCTCCAGGAGCCACACTCCAGGAGCCATTTGTCCAGGCCTGAAGCCCAAAGTCTCTCCCCGTACACCACCAGCGCCAACAGGGCCAAGCTGCTGGCCAAGAACCGGCAGACGTTCCTGTTGCAGACCACCAAGCTGACCCGGCTTGCCAGGCGCATGTGCAGGGACCTGTTGCAGCCCCGAAGGGCTGCCCGGCGGCCTTATGCTCCCATCAACGCCAACGCCATCAAGGCTGAGTGTAAGCTCCGGGGTGGGCCTCCCTGACTGGAGTGCCAGTAGGGACAGGTTGGTAGGGCACGAGGTCAGACTTGGCTCCTGGTCCCAAAAGGGCCCAGAGTTGGGGAGCCCCTTCCGCAGCTGTAATCTTGCTCCAGGCTCCATCCGGCTTCCCAAGGCAGCTAAGACGCCGTTGAAGATTCACCCTCTAGTGCGGCTGCCCCTGGCCACTATCGTCAAGGAGCTGGGTACGTATGAGCTGGGGACCTGCTTTGGGTGGGGTCCGTCGGGCGCCTCCCAGGCCTTCTGCTATCGAGAGCCTCCCCTCTTCCCTGCTTTATTTTTCCAGTGAGTTCTAGAGGTGTCTGTTCACCTGATGGTGCTCTTTCAGTGTGTTGCTCACACCCATGTGTGTGGTTTCTGAGATCCGGGGGCCGCTTGCCAGCCCTCCCCACCCCATCGCTGCTTTTGGTGCTGGCCCAGGAGGAAGACGGGATGTTCCCTTCTGTCTAGGGAGAACGGGTGACCGTTCCCCAAGCTTTCTCTTTTTAACCCTGGCAGTGGCCCAAGCACCTTTGAAACCAAGGACACCTCGGGGCACCAAGACTCCTATCAACAGAAACCAGTTGACCCAGAACAGAGGCCTGGGCGGCATCCTGGTGAAACGGGCCTATGAGACAGTGAGTAGACTGTCCCCACAGGCAGCCAAGGCAGAGGGGGGTGGGCTTTGTTTCTAGGAGGTGTCTGAGTGGGCCCCTCCCTCATTGTGTTGGCCCACCCTTTTCCAGATGGCAGGGGTAGGGGTCCCCTTCTCTGCTAATGGAAGGCCTCTGGCCTCGGGGATCCGCTCAAGCTCACAGCCAGCAGCCAAGCGGCAGAAACTAAACCCAGCCGATGCCCCCAACCCTGTGGTGTTTGTGGCCACAAAAGATACCAGGTAGGAAGCCTGCCAGGGGAGGGGGGTAAGAGGTGCCCGCAGGGGCAGGAGTATGGGAGGGGGGGGTGCCGAGCAAGCCTGGGTGCAGGGTGAGGGTGCCAGGAGGAATGGGCAGGTAGGCAAGGTTGCTGCGGGGAAAGGAGAGGTTCCTCAGCCCCCACTTCCCTCTGCTGTCCAGGGCCCTGCGGAAGGCTCTGACCCACCTGGAAATGCGACGAGCTGCCCGCCGACCTAATTTGCCCCTGAAGGTGAAGCCACCACTGATGGCAGTGCGGCCCGCAGTGACCATGCCCACACCCTCACACCCTGCCAGCACCAATGAGCCCATTGTCCTGGAGGACTGACCATCTGTGGGCCAGGGAGAGGGCCGAGCAAGGGAGAGAGGGTAGGTGCCCTGGGCACCCTCCTTCTAGTGTCAGGAGTGAGGTGGGAGGTGTGGGGCAGAGAGTGAATGTGTGGCCCTGGAGGGGTGGGCGCCCTCTGGTGGCACCATGGCTGGGCTTGTCCCCTCCCCACTCCTCTTGGCCGGCTGATGGAGGACCGACTGCAGGAACCTGGCCTGTGTGGGGAACCGGGCCTGTTTTGCGGGGTAGGACCCACAGTTTGACTTGGACAGTTTTGGGGGGAGGGTTTTTTAATTTTTTAAAAATTTTGCCTCCCTTTGCAAAAGGGGGAAGGGAAAGAGACGAGTAAGCAGATGTCAGGGGGTGATTTAGACCTGATTGGGGGAAGGGGTATGCACTGCCATGTCTTATCATTTTGTTTGTTTTCCTAATTGGGGGGTTTCTCGTCCTGTCCGGTGTCCGGACTGTCCCAATTGGAGCTTGAGGCCCCTAAGCTGGCATCAGCCGAGCCCGTGCTCGCTCTTTCCTTACCCCCTCCTCTGCCTTTTGTACGCCGACTCTCAGAAATAAAGATCTTTTGTCCGTTTTTTAAATCTCGGATTCTGTAATTGGTTCTTATAGTAACAAATAAAAAGCTGTTTCCTCAGCTCCTCCGGCTCAGCTGTTCTCTCCATGGCTCTGTGGGGGTGGGGGGGGTGTCCTTCACGAGGGAACATAATGAAGGGCAAAGGCTGATGAGGGAAGTACAGATGGGCACAGCTGCTCTGGGAGACCTGAGTTGAGGCTGCTTGCTCTGGCCCGCAGGGTGGGGCCCACACTCTTCCCCCTCCCCCACCCCCACAGCTCCCCTTGCTCTGCAGCCCAAGCACCATTCTGGCCCAGATTCAACAAAGCAGTTGGGAAGAGCTGGCTCTTGGTATCGCTGGTTGCTTCCATAGCAACTGTCGGAGGGCGTTTCCTTCCTCTCTTTCCCGGGCTCTTCTTTCCCCTCCAGTCCCTAAGTGATGCAAACAGTTAACATGCTCCCTACTAGTCAAAGGGTTCAAGTTTACCCAGAGGCACCGCAGAAGAAAGGCCTGATGAAGCACTTATGAAAAACCAGCTATTGAAAGCCTCGAGGAGCCCAGTGCTCTGACACATGGGTCACTGAATCAGGACTAGCCAACCGATAATTCCTTTGTCCCCTTTGCTAAGGGAATTCACCGCAGGATGTTTCCACCCAGCTGTAGGCTTTTGGAAATGCTGGTATCATCGGGGCCCAGTGAAGTGCTGGGCTCTGCCTATTGAGGCTGGGGAAACAACTGAGCAAGGCCCTCCCGATAGTAGCATTACACAGAAGGTTCAAGGTCAGTGTACCATGCCTTCCTTGGCACTTGCTTTGGGGGTGGGGAACCACCTTGGTAATTGTGACTTGCTCAAGCCAGAGTGCTCCTTAAAGGCAAGGATGGTGAGATGTGCTTGGGACATTAGGAGAGATCAGTCCCTGGAGAAGGACATCATGCTTGGTAAAGAGGAAGACCCTTGATAAGATGCTTGAGTGTTTTCCGTGTGGGCTCTGGCATAAGAACAATTGTGAGGATGGTGCAGTGTCCTGTGGAGCATAGTCACTATGGATTGAAATCGGCTCAGATGGCACCTAAGAGAAGCAACAAAAGGTATCACAGACCTTGATAGATCTGCCTCAACTCAAACCATAGCGCCGGCTGCTTCTGCCATCTAAGGGTCTCCATTTCATTCTGGTCCCCGGCCCTAGGGGTTTCTCTCCAACTCTTAGCACTTATAGTCTGAAGTGTACTCCAGGAGCGTCCTACACCTGAAAGGGGGTGGTGGTGTGTGTGTGTTAGTTGTGTCAGGGGAGAAGGACTGACTAGCAGTTTGGGCGCAGTACTCATCTCCCACCCATGTCCTCACTGAGCTGCCACCATGGCCAATTTCTTCCACCCTGCTCTGTGAGTGGGCCGCTGACTGCGCTCGGGAGTACCTGCCACGCAGCGCACTGCCGCGGAAGGCCAGTGGAGGCACGGAGGAAGGTAGCTCTGGGGCCCCACGGAGTCTGCCCTTGATCTTAGCCAAAAGGCCGAGAAGCGACGGCCCCGTGCACTGGAGCCACCAGCAGGCGCCTACCTTAGTGGCTACCGTGTTAAATATTCAGGATCTCTCAACCAATCAACGTAGGAGCGGCTCGGAGCACACCAATCGGCTCACCGCATGCAGATGTGCCCCGCAGCGGGGCGGCTCTTTGGGAAGTGGAACGCAGGCGAGAGGCGGAACCCGGAGTGGGAAGGCGGGGCGTTTCCGGAGGGCCGCGTCGGCGTCAGTGCCGCGCCTACGTCACTTCCCGTCCGACCGGCGGAAGCTGCCTCCCCGGGCTTTGCTAGTTTGGAGAATCGAGCACTTACTTCTGAGGACTGAAGTACTTGCCTATATTTTTGCGGTAGCTGGGAAGGCGCGATGGCGGCGGTGGAGTCAGATGTCGAGTCGCTGCCGCGTGGGGGTTTCCGCTGCTGCCTCTGCCACGTTACTACCGCGAACCGTAAGGGGTGGCGAGTGAGGACTTGGGGGCTTGCGGGCGCCCGTCTCTTGATCCTTCCGATGATTGGGGTTAAAGGTTCCCGTCAAGTCGCTTGGTCGGGTTTCGCGCCGTCGTCTTCGCAGACCCAAAGCCCCACCGCCTCACCCCCCTCCTCGCCCGCACCCCAGCGTCACTCCGTGATTCCTTCCCTCCTGAGCCATCATCGGTTGGGCATCTGCTCGGACCTGTGCGCTCCCTGCTGGGCTCTGGGGTGAAGAAGGGAGGGGTGTCCGAGATGCAGACCCTCACGTGCAGAGTGGGAGACGCTTTCAGTTACTCGCCAGCTACCTCTGCAGAGCTTTGGGGTGACCGAGAAGGCGGCAATTAAGAGTCAGCGACCCGCACGCAGGCAGGGGTAACGGGTGATAGCTTGGCAGGCCGCAGCGTGGCAGCATGGAGCGCCAGTGAGGAAGAGGCCCTCGCGAGTTTGGCAAAGTAGACAGATCCCAGATGATGGAGTAAGGGGATAGATGAAATCAGTGATTTCTTGATCTTCCCTAAAGGGCGAGGTGGGGTGGGGGCTTCCCCTTTGAAGGGACACTCACTTGTCTAGTAGGGCTATTTGTCCACCTAGGGGACAGACAGTCTTTCCTGGCCCCATAGCGCCATCGAAGACACAAATTGGGGACGACACCCATTGAAGACACATACCTCCATTGCAGACTCAAATACAACATAAATAATAATACTGGTTCCCTTTCCCCACATTTACCATGTGTCAAGCCCTCTGCCCGGTGCTTTGCTTGAGTTATGTCCATGTGAGTAGAGAGGATTAATGTCTTCGTTTTCTATCAGACGAAAGGAAGGCAGACAGGTTCAGTAATTCTCTCACTTCCAGCTCTGCTGGGATTGGACTAGGCTGTGTGATTTAAGGTCTTTCAATCACAATAATCACTGTACCCAGAGGTGGCCCACGGGGCAGAGCCTGGGTCCCGGGTTGTTTCATTCTGAATGTAACCTGGGCTAGTGACTTTCATGTCTTTCCAATGTGCAGATGTTGCTGTACCTACCACCTTGAGATGGTTTCGGAGATATTTGTAGCGCAGCCACTTCTGCTGGCAACCACTTGGGGGAACACTGCACAAAGAGACAAAGGAGGGAAGTGGAAGGAGAGAGGGGGCAGGACTTTGTTTATTCCGAGGTCACACTCTGTATGAGTTTGAAGCAGACCGTAGGTGTGCAGGGAGCAAAGGCAGGAGAAGGTCCCCTGTCTAGGGATTTGAGTGTCCTTGTCTCCTGCTTGTCCTCCCAGGACCCAGCCTGGATGCCCACCTGGGAGGCCGGAAACACCGACACCTGGTAGAACTACGAGCTTCCCGAAAGGCCCAGGGACTTCGAAGTGTGTTCGTCAGTGGCTTTCCCCGTGATGTGGATTCCACTCAACTCTCGGAGTACTTCCAGTCATTCGGGCCTGTGGCCAGCGTCGTCATGGATAAGGACAAGGTAAAATAAATGGCTCTGGGGATACGGAAGGAGTTGGGTGTGCCACAGGCCAAAAGAGACAGGGGAGCGAAAACGGCAGCCTGCCCTGGCTGTTTCCTAGCATGTTCTTGGCGGGACACCTAGTCCAGTTTTGGGAGCCCCCCCCCAACCCCCTGAATTTTCTGTTTCTCACTCACTAGGAGACTCATTTACTTACTTAATTCAGCCCATCTTTTCTGCACCAGATATTTGCTCACTGCTAGCTCAGTCCTGGGGCCCTGGCAGCGTGTCGGTTATGCATTGGGCTGCTAAGCGCAAGGTCAGCAGTTTGAAACTACCACCCACTCCTTCAGAGAGAGGCAAGGCTTTCTACTTCCGTAAAGAGTTGCAGTCTTGGGAACCCGCAGAGGCAGTTCTACCCTGCCTTGTAGGGTCGGAACCGGCTCGTTGGCAGTGAGTGAACGCTATACTAGGCACTATGCTTTGTGCAGCGTTATCTGAGAGACATGGTTCCTGCCCCGCGCCCCCCAGAGCTTACAGCCTAGAGGAGAAAGTAGACCAATGACCACAATAAAGTGGGGGCTTTCAGAACACACCTTGGGGGGACTGGTCCCTCCCCACAAGCAACTGGTTGGTGAAAGCAGATGGCAGTGTAGTGACCGGCCTTGGTGGTGATGAGGCCATCTCTTGGAAGAGCCTGGCCCACCTTCTGCGAATGTCCCAGGGAAAAGGCCCTGTTATTGGTGCTTCGTTGTTTGGTCCTAGTGCAGCATTGGGGCTGTACTGCTTAAGTAGACATGGTAGGGGACGCCCAAATCTCCCGGGCCCTGTCTTAGGATGGGGTCGTCAGCCGCTCAACAGGAATGACTGTAGCAAAAGGCACTCGATTTTCTCATGTAACTGCCCCGATCTGGGCAGTCCAGGGTTATTCTGCCTTTCTGCCCTGCCACTATGGGCACATGGCTCTTATGGACAGCCTGCAGTCATGCTGCTTCCACAGCTGTGGACAGGGAGTGGGGGCAGGGGAACGGTGGAGCAGGTAGGCCCCGCACCTGTTCCTTTATTTCCCAGGTAGGTACTCCCTTCTTAGTGGTCAGAACGCCTTCGCAGGGTTGCCCTTAGCTGGTGGTTGTGGTTGTTGTCGTTGTTGCTATAGAGAACCCTGGTGGCATCGTGGTTACTCGTTGGGCTGGGATTGACAAGGTCAGCAGTTCAAAACCACCGGCTGCTCCACGGGAGAAAGATGGTCTCTCTACTCCCTCCCGTACCGAGTTACAGCCTCGGACACCCACGAGAGCAGTTTTACCCTGTCCTATCAGGTGGCTACGAGTTGATGGCTGAGAGTGTGGTTTTGGTGGTGGTGGTATAACCGGGGCAAACGGCTCCTCTGAACAAAGTTGGGGTAGTTTGGATAGTAATGTAGGAGAACATCTATCAGCGGGCAGTTGGCAGTGTCTGCCCCAGGTTACATCTTTCAAAACCCAAATGTCCCCATTTTCGTGAGTGGCAAATTTCAGTCACAAAGAATTGTTATTGTCCTGAATTATTATCACCCTGTGAACGCAAGCCTCCGGTTTTGGAGCCTTCTAATTATGATCACAATGAGGCGTTTTCTTGTGCTGTCCTTTACATAGAGCACCTCGCTGAGGCCCCACAACAGTTCCTTGAGGGAGAGCCTCACAGGCAGTTGGAGATTGGGTGGGGTAAGCCCCTCCTTGGGAGGCAGCCACAAGGTACTCGACCTCTTTGAGCTTCCGTTTCTTAATTTACAAAAGGCAAATAATTATACTGCATACCTTATAGAAGGTTTAGGAGGCTTGGACCTAGCTTATGGGACATGCTTATGGGACATGCGTATACGACCTTCTCAGGTGTTAGCGCCTAGTGGGGAGGGTGGTCTTGAGAGGGAACAATACGCCTGGGACACAGGCTTCTGAATCCGCGAAGCCTGGCCTTCCTGAGGCCTCGCGTAAGCCTCTTCTGTTTCGTTTTGCTTAAAGAACTCTATTGTCTTGATCATAAGACAGGATGCAGCTTACAGGCAGCTGGATCTCTTGGTCCGTTCTCTTCCCATCTCCTCCCCGTTCAGAACGCTCGCAACTCCTGGTAGCCAGCATCCCGTCAGATCCGCAAATGGGTTCAACGCATCCCGGACACAACACACTCGGCTTGGTCTTCTTAGCCTTCTTCTGGAACTCAGGCTGCAGCCGTGCTGCGGCTTGACATCTCGTGCTTGCCCTGGGCATACGGAGAATCTTCGCCGCCTTTGTACTCTGCGGCTCAGTGGGGCTGGTGCGTTTCGCATGTCCCGCCAGTTTTTGAAAACGTTCACGACACTTGTTGGAGCGCTGTGGGCCCGGTCATCATGTCTGTAAGGTTCTCGAGAGGAGCATGTGCACCAAGACACGCCAGGCAAAGGGACACCTATTTTTAGGCTGGGCTTTGGATCCAAACTTGAATGTGGACTCCAGCCCTGTGGACCCCTGACTGCTTGCAGCAGAGGACTGGCCTGAGCTGAGCCAGGTGGCGGCCTTGTCCCTTGCCTTCACCTTGCTTCTTTTTGTCTCTGGGAGGGGTGAGGGGTGAGCATCATTAGCCCAAGGCTGATTGATGGCTCTGAGGTGGGTGTCAGAGGAAACCAGCCTCTAACAACCGAGGGGTCCCTAGGCGCAATTGTACTAAAGTCATAAAAGACAGGAGAGAGAGGAGAGAAGATAAAGGAGTCAGACACATTTCATGGGGGCATGCTCACCTCAGCCCCACTTGGTGTCCACGTGGAGGTGGGAGAAGAGAGAGGAAGTTTTTACTGTCTTGGGATATTCATAGGTATCCATAAGTCATGCATATTCAGTAATTACATACGAAGTGGGTGGTAACCACAGTAAAGCCCCTGAGCTCTCAGGTGAGGAAACCCAATACCTGCATTGGGGGAAGGCATGGGGGGGTGGGGGGGAGATGACCAAAGACTGTCTGCTTCTGCAGGGAGACAGAATCAACCAGGTGCTCACTTTGAGGCAGCACAGCTGTGAGGGAGAATCAGTGGGAATGATATTTAAAGCAGGATCACGGGCTTGGACTTTATCTCTAACTTACCAAGGCGGTGGCTTTCCCACTGTGGAATACTGGCTTCCCCGATTCCCTCTGTTATAAGTTAGGGAATATGGTCCTCATCATATTTCCCTCAGTGTTAGTTTCCCACAGTGGGGGTCCAACATATCTTTACCCTCCATCCGTTTCCTCAGTTCTGCTACCAGCCATCCCACCCACAGCACACTCTGTGTCCCTGCGGGTTTGGTGCTTCGTTGAGATAGCCAGTAGAACCCACAGGTAGCACCGCTAGAGGGCTTATTGAGGAAGTAACAGAGTACAATTCAGGATCAGGAATAACCCGGTGCAGTTCTTTGCTCCAGACAGTTTCTTTCTTTTTTTTTTTCTTTTTAATTTTATTGGGGGCTTGTACAATTCTCATCACAATCCATACATGCATCCACATTCACACACATACATCCACATACGTGCATTCACTGCCCTCATCATTCTCAAAGCATTTGCCCTCCACCTCAGCTCTTGGTCCAGACAGTTCCTTGGCATGCTCATGCTAGACCTCGCTCCCTCAGCCTCTCAGACCGTGGACTGGCCTGGCCACTGCCCTGCTTGGACAAGTGTTGCAGAGCCCTTTAGCTCCATCAGTGGGTACCCAGAGGCACCCCATTTTGCCTGAAGGCATTCAACTCTTTCGTTAGGCACTTTGGCTCCTGGTTCCAAATGCCTTACACTAATTTTCAGTGAAAGCCCTCTCTCTGTCTCCTGGGTCCAGGAGGCTTTTAGTACAGGGACCTGAGGTCCAAAGGATGCCCTCTGTCCCTCCCTCCTTCGTGGTCATGGTCAGGTCCCGCCTTGCCTTCCCTGGGATTGCACTCTGAGATGGCAGAACTGACCAATCCGCTCGTTAGAGGTCTTTACACCTTGTTTGCATGGTCCCACCTCCACAAGAGAAGCCCTGTGGTGCACTGGTTCAGGTACTCGGCTGTAACCCAGAGGTCAGCAGTTCAAATCAACCAGTCACTCCATGGGAGAAAGATGAGGCAGTCTGTTTCCAGAAAGAAGGACAGGCTTGGAAACCCTATGGGGTAGTTCTTCCCACTCCTTAAGCTGCCATGGGGCAGATTCAACGTGATGACAGTGGCTGGGACCGTCACACGGATGCTGTGCACCTCACTTGCCTGATTAGCAAGCTATCTAGTCCCCTTGGTGGGCCACAAGCAGCTTGTTTGCATGGTACCACCCAGTCCTTTGATGAGCTTTACAAGACCGTGGCTAGTGAGGCTATATACAAAAGGGGTGCCTCCAATCCCAGGACATTTTCATCCTGCCAAAACGCCCCAGCAGTCACTCCCCCTTTGTGATTCAGGCCCATGTCCTGGAGAAACACCTCTGTCCCCCCACCCCACCCCCCAATCTGGTTCTTGCACCATCACCCCCGCTCCTCAGCACCCCCTGTCACCTCGAGTCCAGTCCCTCCCTCCTTAGAATCCCGAGGCTCTGCTGGAAGCCTTCTCTGGGGTCCCCCTCAAAAAGGTGGCGGACGTGCCACCATTCGCCTCCTAGTTTCCTCTGTTCCTTTC